AGCAAGCAAGCAAGCGAGCAAGCGAGCAAGCGAGCAAGCAAGCGAGCAAGCGAGCAAGCGAGCAAGCAAGCAGGCAAGCGGGCAAGCAGGCAAGCAGACAAGCAGGCAAGCAAGCAAGCAGGCATACATACGTACGTACATACATAAATACAGGCAGACAGACACACATACAAGATCGACACACACACACGTACAAATATACATATATATATATATATTATACACGCATGCACACGCACGCATACAAGTAGCTGTACAAGTGTACATTTACAGATAGACAAAAACACTTTACATAAGCAGAAAGGTCGACCTATTTATGATTGACACAGTCGCGGGAGGGGCATACTGCTGTCATAAAAGAATGCTGAATCTACCGTTTTCATCACAAGCCAACAAGTGCCAAAGGACGAGGCCTCTCTGTGTTGGGTTTAGGGTTTCGGGTTCATTAGGGTTTGGGTCGGCTTGGCGTCCTTCAAAAGCCGTCCTGCTACTCGTGCGACTGGCTACACTCGTTTTGCTCATGCCTACATCCTAAACTCTCTAATCCAACACCGAATAGCCGTAAACTCCAGTAAAGCTCTATACCTTGAGCCAATCCCATATAGGCGATGAGGTTACAGGACTAGTACTTGTAGTAGTTGTTGAAACTGCCCTGAACCCTACACCCTGAACCCTACACAGCTAATGTAAATGTAGGGGCCTTAATAATTAGACTAGGGTCTTGGGGTATATTATTTGTAATACTACAATGGCTAAGGAACCATTAATATAGGTAAGTATTTAAGCCCCTATATTACACCCTGACCAAAGCCTGTGAAGGGTTCCCCGAAGCTCCCCCTCGCTCTTCAACCCGAGGCCCGCGCGGGCATCACCTCCCGGAGGAAGTCCTCTGAGGGCCACGTTGATTGGTACGCCTGGCAAGAGCTTGATTGGGGGTTGGGGCCTAGCTTATTTGCGGGGGTTTGAGGAGTTGTGTGAGGATTTCGGGCGTACGGAACATGCCATATTCGGCGGAGTTTCGGCTTAGAGATCGAGGTGTCTTCTTGATGGGTCCTTCTTCCTTTATAGGCTTGTTTTGAAAACGGAACCTTGGATGGAATGAAGAGTACACTTCTGCCGAAAACGTTTTTCTGCAGAACGTCGTGTCGCAACAGGAATAAGCCTAACTTCCGGCATGGTGTTCTCAGAGGCCGGTAAGTTTGCGAACCCACGTGTGTAATCGCACATGGGGCCTGCATCGCGTTACTGCTTGTTTTCGCTTCGTGAGGTTTTGCTAGTTCGGGATGTTTCAGAAACCTGGTGAGTGTATCTCTGAGATGGTTTCGGTCAGGTAAAGACCCTAGTGTGATCGCGAAGCCACAGGTGGCTGGCTTGAGGAGGCCTGTGATCTGATGTTGTTATATGTCGTTTGCGGTGCTGATGACGATGATGAGCAGAGTAAAAAAAGAAACGATCAGGATCATGCAGATGCTTAGGAGTTTAGGGCCAGTACAACAACAGTGTCCTCGTCCTCATCGGCGCTGATGTGCTTGATGTGGTCGAGACTGCTGAAAGTTATATGTGACATTGGTAATGGTTGCTGCACGAGTACGGGATTTCACGGTCATGATGACGATCGTGATGCTTACGAAGTAGAAATTCGACATGAAGAGTGTTGTGCCGATTAAGAGGCATTCGCTGATAGCCATGATGGTAGCGTTTCTCGTGTCGAATCAAAAGATTCTGATGAGGCTGATGGTGCTGCTGATACTGGTGCTGAATGGTGCTGCGTAGTCTGCTATTGAATACTTTCAGCACTTCGCAAGTAGCGCAAGTATCGACTTCCTCAGATGCATCGGGCCCAGGATGCCAAGCCCTAAACCCAAAATCCCAAACCCACAGTTGAAGCAAATCGAAACCTAACCGTACAGTTGCTAATATCATGTCTACACCCTGCACCCTAAACCGTAAAGCCCTTTGTCCCTGAACCCTAAACCCTAAATACACACCGAAAAGATGACAGAGGAAAAAAGGAAGTGCCAGAGAAACTGGGTCTATACCTGAGGCTCTAGATCCTTTCTGACTCTCCCATTTGGGTTTGGAGTTCAAGGTTTAGGGTAGGGTGTAAGGCTTAGGGTGTAAGGCTTAGGGTGTTGAAGGTTTAGGGGTACAAAAACCTTTTCTAAAGACCTTCCGGAACTCTTACGACAACGAACCAAGGAAGCCATCAACCCACCAACCACCGGCCGAACTTACTGGAGTGGCGCGAGCCTGCCATTGACCTGCCTCGGCAACCTGACTTTAGGGCTTCGGGAGCAAGGTCTAAGTCTTATGAAGTTGAAGGTTTCGGATGCAATGCTGCGGGATGCTTCGGGTCTATCATGACCGAGGGGTAAACAGACCCCAAAGGTTAAATCTGTCCAAGAATATTCCTCACGAAGCATACTAGGCATCTTGCGTGGTTGGTAGGATTTGGATATCAATGATACCCCCAGTTCCAGGCCACACATCGCACGAAATCGCAAACGAAAGCGAAAACAAATGCTTGGATTTGTGTGTTGCGCTGGTTCTTTCGGACGTTGATGTTGAGGCTTCCTACTACTAGCCAGAGGCGAAACCCGAAACAGATATATGCGCAAGAACGTGGCCAACAAGGCTGCCTCATAGGTGCTCCGGCGAAGCGGAAGACGACTGTGTGCCTAGAGAACCCTTCATGAACACATCGCCAGGCTGGATGAAGTTCCCCTCATGATAGTGCTGATCGCCTCTGGGGTGACATCATCTTCAATGGAGCACATGTTGGGATGATTTTGTTTATGGTGGCGCGGGCTTCCAGCTGAGTCTCTATGCCAATAAAACGTTGTCTGGGCTGCGAGTTGCCCTTGGTGCAGGACGTTGTACGGTATAGGGCCGACAGACTGGACTTGGATGTACGATCTAAGAACGGATATACTGATGTTGCAAGACGCATGCTTGTGATTCATTGCTCTGACCATCTTCCTGCTTCCGAGATGGATGGGAATGTGGCGTGGCATTCGTGCAAAAGTGGGGCCCCATGTTGCAGGATGTTACTGAATACTGATGTCCAGCGTCGGTCACTTGGCGCCGCTTGCGGCCTGGGGTTCATGGGGTTGGGGTCTGGTATCGAGACGGTGGCTGCAGGTATCCTGCAACTCAGATGCATCGGGAGACCTCTTGCGCAAAATAACAAAGCATCAGAGTCCGAAACCTTACCAGCCAGACCCCTACGGCCGAGAGCCGTAGTTCTGTTCAAACATCAACGATGACCCTAAACCCCAAGTCGTAAACCATAAACCCTCAACCCCGAGCCCTACACCCCGAAGCCCGGCTTAAGAAGGCCAGACCCCGAACCCTACATCCAAAGCTTTATAAGAGTCGCCAACCCCTGCAACCGGAGCAAGCAACACAACACAGGCTTTGCAGTCTAAAAGCCCTGAACCCCAGAATTTGCTACCCGCTCCCCTTAGTAAGGGTATCAAGCACTGGCATCGTCGGGAAGTCTGCTATCCCCAACACCTGCGCTACACCTGTGTATGAGCTGAACCCCCCGAAATAAGGCTCAGGCTACTTGCAGTATCTCGAAGCGGTGCCCCTATCTCGTTTCATCATATTAAGTACCGGCAGAAAAACTGGATCTCGCTCAAGAATCGTTAGTAGCAGCTCCGATCATAAATGAGCCTGATCTGGTTTTATACGGTGCCCCTATCTCGTTCCCCTCTTAGAGCGAGTTCGGACCAACAAAAATAGCGCAAGGAGCTCTCGTTTCGATAGAGCATAGTATTGACACAAAGAAAAGCCGTCGCTCATACATGCGCATAATGCTTTGCGTTGAGTAGTACTGTACGACTTAAGCTTTGTTGCTACGAAAGCTAGTCACTTAATTACCCCTAACATTCAAGCCGGAACAGCTGCATGACCGCTGGTTGTTGTGCCTCTTTCTATCTGACTATCTCTCTTCCTGTTGATGTATCTAATCTATCTATCTATCCAGCCTATCCGATTGACGCATACTCGGATGCCCGAACCACCCCCCAATATCAACAACTCGGGCTTCGAAGGCTGCACAACTCGCTTCCTTAGTACTGTACAGGCACAGGCACATCTCACAAGACAAGACTTGAGCTCCCATTAATGTTTGGGCTGTTAGGGAGGGCGGGATGTGGTTACGAGAATGAAGTAGCCAAATAAGCTTATTGGTTCCTTGGATCCTGGCGTTGCGCCCGAGTGGTACGCACCAAAAAAAATACTCTCTGCACTAAATTCCGTGCCCAAACACATGTCTCGCTAGCCGTATCTCCACACATTGGTTTTCAAACGAGGCAAAGGTGGGCTAAGCGGGGGGGGGGGCTAAAGCCCAGGGTGAGGGACCCATTCAGGCAACGCCATGCGCGGGGCAGCGTGTGGGGGGTTCTGTCTGAAAAAGCGAAGGGGAAGCGGGGGCCATCCCCTCTCGTACGTGCCATGAACAATTGAGTTTCCGACCAAAGCTTAACTTAAGTGCTAAAAGACACCTCCTGCAAGCTCCGGAAGAGGCTGGCTTTCGTGACTCTATATAGATTACATGCATAGAGATGTAGCGCAATAAAGGAACAATTCGGCTGAGACCATCTGGGACCTGTCTCGAAGTTGAAATAGAAAATCTCGCCATCTTCAGACTCGCAGGGCTTCCAGGGCGCAGGCAACCTCACAAGGCACAAGTTGATCTAAGGTCTGTTGCAATGCACATCGAACCAGCTGTAAGGTGCTGTGCCAGGCAGCGGTGCTTTTAAACCAGCCCTCGCAATCCAGAAAAGATCGCGATCCTTCTCCAGGTCCTTGGAATGCTTTCCATGGTGTTCGTGGCCTGCCAAAACCGGAACCCCTTTGCTCCAAGCATCCATGCCCAGCCATTCTGCATATTCTTCAACCTGCAAGAAAACGGGCTGCATTTGCTCTCCACTGCGAAAACTTCAGAAAGCCTCCTTCTCACTCGGCTGATAGTCGGGGTCTATGTGCTCATCCAGGAGGCTTCCGGCTCCCCGCGACATGGAACCTCCCCGAAGTGAATGCTCAGTGCCAGGCGGATTGTCTGACTCTTGCAGCATTTCAACTTCTAATGCAAAATCGATCAAGGTGAGACCGGGCTCGATTGCGTGCGAGGCTGACAAGGGGATTTGGCATGAGCGGGAAGCTCTTTGCAATGTAATTCTCGTGGAATCCCTAGTAGCCTGCACAGGTGCGTGAAACGGAAGCAATTGGTTGGAACCGAAAGCTCAACGCTGAGTGGGCTCAAGGAAAACGCTAGGACCTCATAGTCCTTCGGACCAATCGAGGCTCGCTAGCCAGCCCACATTGCTGGACCAGGCGGCATCACAAAACTCACTTTCGTTCGCGCGGCTGGATCCACACCTGGCGCTGTGCCCACCTGATCGGTCACTTTAACTTCGGTCTCCAGGCACTTGACCTCCGAAAGGAGGCGAAAATTCGCAAAGATCGACGGCCTGCGAGTGGAAGTTTGGCTTTGGCAGGTCGGCTGGGGCTCCGCATCCCATCCATGGACTCGTTCCAGAGACGCCTTTACACAGAGCTGCTACAGTTCCCACTCACTGGAACTCCAGGGCACCTGCCAAGGACGGGCCACAGTTCGATGGCTGCACTCGAGGCAGCGGCACAGCCTGGCATAGCTGCTCATGAATGCCCGCCCAGCAGAGAATCCGGGAGACTTTGTGCCTGACCGCCATTCTTGGCTTGGCCCTGCGAAAATCCGAGAGGCCTGAAAGACTTGGCACAGCCATGAATGCAGTGCACATTTGCTGTCCAGGTCTACGGGGCCCACTGCTGCCCAGAGTCTGAAGAGCTCATGACTTCCGGTCTATCATGCTCAGCCATACTGACAATCCGAGGCCCCGGGCGGAGCCAGGGCTGGCTTGGGTGTGTAACCTCCAAGACCACAAAAGACGATCCACACTCTGACATGCGCGTTCATCGATCTCCTAGCACTTTGGGAAGAACATGGTGGAACGATATAGTGTAGCCCTCCCCTCGCGCACCTGGAAGCTGTGGCTTAGCTGTACGCACGGGTGGCTCCTGGGTTGAGACTTCGCGGCTGGATGTACTCGACTCGAGCATGACATGCGCGGCGGCGAAGTCGCAAAGCAAATGAATGTAACATGGAATGCGGAGCGGTGCCGCAACGCATGGCAGCTACACGGTACATGTTTGCAGCGGTCCTTGAGCAACGCAAGGATATTCTCCAACTCTTTTCTTACCGCCTCCGCCTACCATCCGGACACTCTCCGCACAGGTATGTTTCAGATGGCACAATCTCACACGGTCATGAGCATGTAGACTATGAAAATCAAGTGGTACAGTCGGTACAGTGGTATAGTCGCACCAGCACACACAGTAGTGCTGCGGCCTGGTTCTGCAGCTCCGCAGAAGTCATCAAGTGGTTCTCTGTCAGCTCCTTGTGCCTTTGCTTGAGAAGACACATAACAACTGCGCAGGATGCATACATCGCAATTCTACAGTCAACAAGCTTCCTGGCAGTGCACACAGCTGCCAAGCAGTATTGCCACCCACAAGCTGCTTCAGATGATTTCTACTAGCCAAGCGGCGCGTGCAACTGGCCTATCTCATCCTGCCAGGACGATGAGCTCTGCTGGTGCATCGCCTGCCGGACATCTTGACTCTTCAATGGAGAAACAGGAAATTATAACAGGAGTGTTTCTGCTTGGCCGAGAGCTGAAAAGAAATTGCTGCCCATCCAAGTTCATTTCCGCAAAGCCAGAGCAACGCACGCGGTTTATAGTTGTGAATCCGCAGCTTCCGGCAAGACGGTGGTTGGGGATGGAGGCGTTTCTCACTTCCCGCGCCTAACGGACATGAGCAGGACTTGCCTATATGACGGTGCTGCGATGCAGATCTCACATCTTCACGCTTGAACAAAATCGCAGGCTGCCAATGCCCGGTAGTGTCAAGCACAACACCTGACAGATCAACATCTGCCTCCAGCATCTGGTGCAGCTGCCGCTTCACTGCGTCCTTGAAGACCACTTGCGTGATGGGTAAAGACAAAGACTCGCACGCAACGCCTAAGCCACGCCTAACCGTCCATGCATGTTCGCGAACCAGTATGGAGCGTAAGCCGGCTCTCTTCTCTCAGTTTGAAATCTTGCCGGCGAGCTTAGACCATCTGCTCTCAGGACATTCCCATGTTGTAAGGTCAGTACCTTTCTACGTCGTATCTAATGACTATAATGGATCGAAGCCCATTGCGAAGCGTAACACGTGTCACACCGCTTCTGCCATCTGGGCACGTCCACCGTCGGCGGGCTGCTCACGTTCTGAAGGACGCGCATGCCTCTGCTCTCCATGCTTGTTGTCAGTGGCCCCTCGTCAACACAGCACCGCATTGCCTACGCATGCTATCGAAGCCTATCTCCCGCAGCCCAACACTTTGACATCGGATCTAGCCACTGAATGTCGCTTTCAGCCAGCTCTCGCGCTACTAAGCTCACGGCTGCTCTCGGACAGCTTGTCAATGATATCCCTGTAGGTCTGCTCCTTTGCAAGCCTCAGATCCACGGCCTGGCCTCTCAGCTTCGAGTTCCCAGGTCCAGACTCCCAACCCAAGAGTACAGGGTCAGATGACTCTGCGGCAGTTCTGCAATGATGGCATGGAGCCTAATTAGGGTGATCAAGGCTCTTGCTTGGGAAGCCTCCCTGCTTGCGTGCTACTTGCAGACATACTCCTACTCGGAGGCGGCGGTCTCCCCCCTCCTGCCCTTCGTGAGTTCGGGGCCCCCGGGATCTTCCTACGGGAAGACTGCGAAGCTTAGGAGACCAACGGGGGGTAGCTTCTGCTGCCCCCCTCTCAACCCCCCCTCGCTTGGGCAGTGGGCTTTTTTTGGAGCTGCTGAATGAGCACCCTTTGCTTTGGGCAGCTCGCGATTCGTCATCGAATCATTCGAATCTCTCTCCTCCTTACCTTCTCTGCGGTGGCTTGCTGCTGTGGAGGCCCTCTTCCGCTTTGTGAGCTGACTTCGTAGGCCTCTTGGCGCCACCCCTACTCACTCGGGATGCACTGGCTACCTCGTGCCCACTTCCTGGCGCTTGGCAACCGCTGGCCCGTCACTTGGTTTCGCTGGTCTCGCTGGCAGCTTACTTTCTGCTTGCTACAGTTGGGCAAATCCTTAGCATGGGTCCCTTGGTCTTGCTGGAGGTAGACTTTGGCTTCCCATCTCCTACTTTTCCGTTGTCTGATGTTCAGTGGCGGGTGTTCCGACTAATTCGATAGCGCAGACTTCAGTGACTGGCTGTCTACCTCGATAACCCCTGACCTCGCTTGGCAGTTTCAGGTTCACAGTGCTGGTCATCTCCATGCTACTTGCGCTTCGCTTCGGTTGGTGCCGCCTTACTCGGCTTTCGTCTTTGCTTTGCCTTGATGGATGGAATCACTGAACCGATGGCTCGTAGGTCCACAAAGCCTTCTGACGGTGGGTGGTGCACCCGGTAGTCTCACATCAACCTACCGACACAGCCTTTATCTTTCAGCGCCCTTCCAAGATCCAATGCCAACTGCCACTTCATAAGGAATCCTTCGGACCAGCTACCCGTGAGTTCCCATTGTCATTCAAGTAGCTGTTGACCCAAGAGTTCGGCACAGCGGCCGAGCTGCGTCCGGCAAGTGACCTGAGAGAGCCTACCTACGGTGACCTACAGGAAAATACAGCACAAGAGCGGCCTCAACTGCACAAGCCATTGCAAGTCCCCGTTTTCCGGTCCGAGGGGCGAGATCCGTTGTGAGGTGCTGAATTTCACGCCTCCGCACTCGCGGAGCAGAAAACTCTCTCTTCGAGGGCACTTCTACGCCTGTCGATAATTATCAGATTGGTAGCGGCAGGGGTGCCTACTGCCACAGCCGATAAAGATATCTGAAATTCCCAACTTATCTGAGACCGCACGAGCACATCTTCCTGAATCCATCCGTCGGATGTGCTTGTGGTGCGCCACACAGCTAGATTTGTCAAGCTTTCTGTCAAGGAGCTCGTAGTAGTTGCACAAGTTCTCCTCAGCAGTGTTGTTCATTCTGGGCCCAACTTTGAGATGGTATGTCATTGGGTCCGGGTCCACCCATTCATGGTATAGTATCGAATAACTGCTCTCACGAGTCCTCGAGCCCCGGGGTCAAGTTCATCAAGGGCGGCATCTCGCACAGCCCTCTCCGAAGCCCCTTCGAAGTAGAAGTGAAAGGCTGTATAGGTTTTTGTTCCTATTCGGGGACCGATGGTACTCTACCAGTTGCCAGCTCAGAGGCGGAAGCTGCTGAGATGATTTCCGTGCAGAACTCACGGAAGTCGTCAAAGGCATCACGTTTTGTGCCACAGTGCCTGCAGAGCTGATGCAACCCTGCACAGCGGGGCTGTGGAGGCATGAAACAAGCAAAAACAACTCTGCTTGGGCGTTGTTGAAGACCCAATTTGCCCAAGATGGGCTGCAGCACTATGTTGATGGCATAACAGCACGAGAACACGATTGCTGAGTGTGAGCTTCTACTTAATCAGACCTGGGCAAGTGCATAATATTGCCGAGGGGTTCGACGGCATGACACGCCTATCACAACGGCAATCACTGCAAAACTGTGACATGACCCGAGCTTCACCATGGATGACCCGCTGCAAACACCGCTAATGCAGCCGTGGGGATGTACAATCCTCAAGGCTCTGCCTGCAGAAGTCAGAGTCTGCCATGTAGATGTTGCCTTGCATGCGAGTACATGTTACGACCGTGCGAAAGCAAGCTGCAAACAGATCTCAAGCTCATGAATTGCGTGATGTCGCCGAATGTAGCCCGGCGGCTTCGACTTTGAGTGATGCCCCCAGTATTTATTGAAGTCTAAGACGTTGCCCGGTGGTTATGATAATGAACCCTGCCCACGGTTCAACGCACGCAGTACGGTTGCTGCATGCATATCGCTGACCATTCACTCCGGAGCAACATCTTGCGTCTTCCGCGGTGCAGGCTGTAAGTGCGGTGCCTCACCTTCATCCAAGGTGGGGAAAGCCGCAAAGAAAAAAACAGTCCCGCATGTTTGCTCCGCTCGCAAGTTACTTCTAAGCACATCTGCAAGCGCACGGGTAGCTTCCACCGGAAATTGAGGCCCGTGCCACAAGTTGGGCCTTATTGCGGCAAAATGTGTAATGCTCTGCCAGCCCTGCTCAGCACCAAAGGCAAACACACCGTGGTGGCATCTGCTGGGGCGCCGGCATTGTGCCGGGCGCTCCATGATGGCCAATTCTGGGCTGCTCGCTTCACCGACAGCCACGGCTCTATCTTGAGTTCTGTCGATCATGAGTCCATGCGAAACCAGATGCGACTTCACCTTTTGCCCTGTGGCATGATTCTAGCTGCTTCTGCTCTGCAAGGGCATGTGCAGCTTGATTCGCGGGCAGGCGATGATAGCAACAGTGGCATGAATACCAACTGCATCTACGTCGCAGGCTTGAAGCTTCCAGAGATTCTAAGCTGCCATGCTCATCACATCACAAAACTCCCTCGAAGTCCAGCATTGCCGGCAGCAATCATTCGACAACATCCTTGCGAAACCTGCCTACTGACCACGGAGTGTTGCCTGGCCTCCCAACATCGAGGCCGTGCAGGGGCAATCTTTGGGAAGCACCCGGATGTGGTTCAATGTATGACTTTCAGAACGGCCTTTGCATTCCTAGTGCTGCCAGCTCTCGGAAGTCCGTCGGGTGGCAAGCCGGAGGGATGGAAACGCAACAGGATGGGAAACTCAACAAAGTTCTGCACATTCATGAGAACTGAGCCGAAATAACATGAACCGGCAGCATGGCCTAACTTTGGATCCTGCTGTCAGAAGCGTGTAACTGCAACTCAAAGATGCTTCTGACTCAAGTCGGTGGAATCGGTAAATTTAATTAACCTTAAACACAAGGCGAGTAAGAAACCCTCAGATCAACATCGCTCAATGTCCGACCGGCCAGACTGTGCGAACAGTTGCTTTACTGTGTTAGTAGCCCTTGGGGGTGCACCTCACCACCCCATCCCTGTCTGCAACTTCCAAAGGAGGAGGCAGGGGTGTGGGTGTGTTGCGGGCCGCAGAGTCAAGGGGGGCGGTACGTACAGCGTGTCATAACTCCTGTGCACTCAGCTTTATGCGCTGCTGCAGTAGAAAAAATCGTCTGAGGCCCATGCGTCAGGCGCTTGTCACCTATAGAGTCGAGCCAAGACCCAAGAACGGAGCTTACATTAGCATGAGATTCGCATGCAAGCGCATTAGGCGATGAAGCTGATTGCACAGGAAAATGACAAGAGTGGATCTACAGTTACTCAATGCATCAACCAACCATCACCCAAGAGTTTCCAAGTAGCATTGGCCGTTGCACTATGCCTTGGCAACGTTTGATAACCCGGAGTACATGCGACCTCCAAGCAATACTGTGCCTGGTCATCCAAGTAATCGACTCAATCGCAGCGAGGGTCGTTGTCGCTGTCATATGCACACATGCACACACATACTGGGGGGAGGAGTTGCCGCAGCAGTAGTACTCAGCAGCTGCAGTCACATCTGTGGCGGCAATGCGGGAGTGATGCGCAGTGAGCATGTCTGAGAATGGAAAGGATAGTCGATGTACCTGCGAACCTGCAAAGCTCTAGTTGCAGAATCTGGCCCAAAGGACCATCTGCTCGACCACTTTCATTGTTCTTCGATAAGTGTTGCCGATCCACCTCACTGTCTAGAATTAGAAGCACCAAGCAAGGAGCCCAGCCCGACAAGGAGGCACACACCGTAGCACTGTGCAAACATCATGTTACAGAATTGCACACAAATCTGAAACGACCAATTTTAGCTTGGCATACCAGAGGCACTTGTTGCCTCTTGTTCTTCGAATCTGCAAGACCCTGTTGTTTCACAACTAGGATCACACAAGGAGACATTATCTGAGATTGTCCTTGGCTCCTGGTCTGTCGAGCCTCAGAAGTACTCTTCGATCTCTTCGTCCTCCTGCTCTCTGTCGTCATTCGAGTCCCTTGCAATCCTTTGCAAGCGGGCCGACTCGCGGATGGAAAGTCGAATCGTCTCACTTCGCCTACCGTCCCGCGCGGAATTGCGTCGTCCGGATTTTGAAGAACTATGATTGCTTGGACTGATCACGCTGATTGCTTCGGTATGTAGCAAGGGAAGGATCCGGCCGCACATCAAATGGACTTCAGTGGCTTGAATGCGCTCCGTCCCATGAGATGTAAACTTGAGCGCCAGCATGTTGAACAGGATCGTGTATGTAGCCTTGACAGTGCTCAAATCCGTGCCAAGGTTGGCCAGCGCTTCCTCCGGAAAGAAATCGCCTGCCATCAACTTCTCGTAAAACGTGGGGTCTGGATAAAGAAAAGTCTCCTCCGCTTTCACGGGAATGAGCTCCGCGTTGGAGAGAGCACAGGCAGTCAAGCAAGCTGCGAAGGGTGCCAGCTGCAGGACGCCCTGCGCCAGGGCCGGTACCATGAGCTGTGCAGATCTTAAGTTCCGAACCTGTTCGACCTCGAAAACCTTCGGACCGAAACCACAAACCAAATTGGGACAGACTAGTCTGATTAGGCGGCCTGTGTCAGGATGACAAGGACCACATTCGCCGAAGCCAAGACAGCAGTGAGCTGGTCCATGTTAAGCACGGCCAGGGATGGGTTCAGTAGGTGAACTTCTTCCTCCAGCTGCGCTTGTAGAAGAATCTGCATCACACGGCAGCAGCTGCCAGGTTCGGATGACTCCATGTCCCCCAGCATGAGGACTTTAGGGTTGGTCCCAAGGCTCGACGAGAGGCTCTCGGAGCCGGTTCCAGGTGAGAAAACAAGCTGCATATTCCTCGAAAGGCCTTTGCAATGCGTAAGCACGATTTGGACCGCCCGTTCATGCTCTGGAACTTCCGCCCCACGTCTATCCAAGGTTATCACCGGCTTGCTGAGCAAAGTCATGTACGCATCTTTGATGCTCTGAAAAGTAATTCCAATGTTGGCTAGAGTTGTCTGCTGTTCTTCAGTCCATGCCCCAGGAACGGCATCGATGCATTCGTGCGTCACCACACAGCCATCACAAGCGACCTGCACAATGTTGGTTCCACTGCCCCACGAACTTGCAATCTCCGCAGCACACCAGATGCGCTTCAGGGTCTCGCTCGTTACCAACACGAGCAAGTTCTGGGTGCCGGCACCTGTGATGTCAACGATGGTTTCTAGACGATCTACATCGTCTGAATCCAAGAAGACTTTGTCACTGATCCTTTCTGCCAGCAACATCTTGAACCAACGCGCCAATGTGCCCGCGGCTTTCTTGTGGTGACTGATGAAGACCCCATATGGATGCGTAGTCTTCATCAATCGCATGACTGAGACAGCGAGTGCCAAAGTCAACCCGGTCACCGCAACAGCGAGCAAGAGCAATAACAGAACTTGGACCACATATGCATTTTCCTCATCCTTTTTAAGTAACAGCTGCCCTGTCGAAACCACCAAAAGCAAACAAAAGCAAAGGCCGACATCGAGGATGTTGGCTATCTGGGTCCGCCATGGCCAGACACGAGCTGCCAAAGAGCCATAGGTGGCAACTGTCAGGTGAAGTAGCCTTGGCAGTTCAAAACAACTAGTTACGAAGCTGGCAGTGCTGGACATCTCATTTGGCACCCGTCAAGTCTTAAAATGATGCCTTCTCTAAATAGGCCAGGGTGCACGAGCTGAATGGCTGGAAGGTGTACGAAAACAATCGGAGACAGGCCCACAATCAGATTTCGAACAGCCAAGACCTGTCGGCAAACACTGTCTGGGCTGTTTGAGTCGTCAAACAGAAGATGCACCAGCTACCAGAATGCACACGCTGGGTAAACGGTGGCACATGAGTGTAATCAGTGCTCTTGTGGTTCATTCCTATAGATGCACTGGTGCACACTGCTATCAGCAAGGCGGCCCAAGCAAAGTAGTAGCTGTGCTGGTGGAAACCTTGGCACCCCGAGGAGTCCAGCGTGCACTGTTCATGATGCTAGTGAACGGACGGGGAACATATCCCATATCATCGCCTTACAGTCCCTACGCGGCTATGCTATAACATTCCCAAAACCTGTTCCAACTACTGAGGTTAGCAAGCCCCCACGTGGGCTGCCGCCCAGGCGCGTGTGAACAGAAAGGACCAACGCTTCACAAAATCTACACCACCAGCAGCACGGCAAACGAGGGGATACCTGAGAATCAGAACAAATCCAGCCCCCTTATACCCTAAATGTCCCCAAATTCTATGAACCCCGACAGTCCAGCATGTCGAAAGACCAAAGAATCTGAACTGAGTCTCTGTCCGAGCTGCCTCCAGGTCGCCCAAGTCACAAGAGCCAGGTAGGCCACAACAACTCCCAACAGGGGTATCACTGACAAAACCACCATTACAGTGTGATCATGGTTGTCCCAGCATGTGAGGCCCCGGTAAGCAACCAAACTGGCACTGCCATCAGGATTGCGTATACACCGGAAAGGCTGCAAGGCAATATATGTGAGAGCAATGTAGAGGGCTGAAACCAGAAGGCCTTGCGTGTTGACGACCTGGTAGATGCTGATATTCTTGCCGCGAACGAAGCGGTTGAATGCGAAAGCCATCAGCAAACAAAGAGCACAAAGCGGGTATGCAGAGATGGCCATGCCATATTCCAGCAGCGGATCCACTCCTCCCACCCAACACTGGGGCCGTAGGAAGCCAATATCGAAAGCCAGGATGGACAATGCAGATCTCAATGAAGCTAGGGGTTCGATCCATTCGAGCTCTATCCTGGTAAATGCCGACAGAGTTTGTGTCGCCATCACAGCCAAACCGGCAGTGACTGTCAGCGTCATCATGGACTCACGATGGGGCTTCTCCAGTCCCACACTGTACTGATACAACAAAAACATGGCCGCGACGACAAGAATGCACGAAACCAAGACGGGCCACACTGCAAAGTCGGAGCATGGTGTACAGCCGCTGCCATCATCAAAGCTGCCGATGGTGCAACTTGCACAGCCCCTGCCCTTCATCCGGTCAGGGCAGTGCCCCAAGGGGCCACCGGGACAGCGAACTGAATTCTCGCATGTGACCACATACGACGGATCAGCGCCAGGAAAGTCTGGGACACCTGCAGAAAACCCCACGACCTGCGTCGGTGGCTGATGAGTTGGACTGGTGGCGTTCTCATCTGAGAATCCTCCTGAGACTGGGGAGATGCTGGAGAGCATTTGGTTGCAAGAAAACGACTGAAGCGCATTAGAACCATTAGAATTAGAAGAACAAGTTGACAACGCGTCCTCGGCAGTCCAGTCCCA